GGCTGGGGGGCCGGCGGCGGCGGCGGGCGCGGCAGCGGCGACGCGTTTGTTGCAGCTGTCGGCCGGCTGAGCTGAGGTCTCGCCTTCGGACGGCCCGCCTTAATCCGTAACTCACCACGCAGCGAAGGGTGCTGCCGCGTTGCAGTGTCCTGTGGCCGTCCCACAGGCCACCCACCCAGCCATTTATACAATCACCCACCCACCCAGCGCATAGCGCATCCCACTTGTCCTGTTCCCCAGCTCAAGCGCCGCAACCCCCCTTCACACCCGGCCAAGTGCTCCACCCACTGCCCACCCACACACCCCATGTTGTATGCAGCCTTGTCACAAGCGACATGCCACAGCCCATTTGCGCGCGGCCCGCGCTGACAGCTGGCGCTTGCGGGGGGCTTTTTCCTTGCATTCTTCCTGCCCGATGGTTTGGATACTGGGCCCCAGCCACCAAAAGCGTGTGCGCGCGGGGGGCCGTCCTGAATGATGGGTGGCGCCCCTTGATGCTGTGATGCAATCCCTGCAACCCTGCTGCTGCGCGTGGGGTGTGGTTGCTGAGGGGTGGCTTGTCGGCCCCCCCTTAATCCTGTCACCCTAAGCTGCAGCGCTCCTCGCGCCCGACCCGCCAGCAACCCCGCGGGAAGCGACAGCCTGCCGCCGCGCTTGCGCACCTGCCCATTCACATCGCCGCGCCAGCTGTTCCTGCTCGCACCCGTGCGGCTCTCAGGCTCACCAGGACGCGCCGACCTCCAGAGCGCGCGCCGCACCCCGCACCTCCAGCTATGTCGGACTCGGCGGCGCTGGGAGGTGCATTTTGTGGTCTCATTGATGCTGCCACATGCCGCCCGCTCGGCACGGTTGTGCCGACGAACACAGCCATTATTGCCAACTTGTTGGTTTTTTCAGGTTTTGAGGCAGAGTTTGCTGCCGGCACTTTCAAGTGCTGCCCTTATGGTATAGAGCTGCCCTTGTGTTCGACCACAGGGCCTGCCTTTCTCAGTGGTGGGGCGTCCATTTCATGCCTCGAATTCACCCATGCGTTGATGCGCGTTAGTCAATGGTGTGTGCCCACGCAGGTCCTCGTGTGCGCATGCGTATGTATGCCCGAGTGCACGCGCGCCTGGCTCGTTAAGTCCCCCACTGACGGCTCGGCATACTTGCGTTGCCGCCAGCACCAGGAAGGCAGCCACTCTGCCGCCTGCCCGGTCGCTCAAAACCGGCTCTGCCTGCGCGGGCTGCCCGACCCGCAGGGTCTTTCCCTAAGGCTGCCACTATCACGGTTGACGCCCCTGCTCCCAAGGGGGCGTGTGTCTGTGAATCTGCACAACCCGCGCATCTCGCTGCCAGGCGGCACGGGCGGGGCGTGCTCGTTGGTTGGTCGGCGGAGCGGCGCGCTCCCTCTGCCCCTACGTGTATGCGGCTGGTCTGAAGCATTCTGCTTCTCTTCTTTTGCGTCTGCTGCATGGCGTCCCATACAGCGGTTTTTTTGACCCAACTCATCCATCATTGGATGCACAGGCATGCATACACATCTTGATCCCTGCACATTACTTGCTGCGCCCGTGCGGAGCGGTCCTGCTCACTTAGTGGGGCTAATCTGCCAATTGACCGAGCGCCTTTTTTGTACCAAATCCAGTTGCTCAGTTTCCCGGTTGTCTCGTGCATACATATCATGAATGTTGGGCAGGCTTGATTGTGCTGTCAGAATCATATGAGTAATCACAGGGGTTGAAGGTTCGCTGGGGCTGTTGAAAGGCGTACTGCTGGGAGGAGGTATGTAACACACTCGATTGAGGAGTTGGTTCGATTGTGCGGACAGGAACAGGTTGGAGTAATCACAGGTTTTGAAAGTTCACTGGGAATGTCGGGAAGACATTCGGTCGAGTAAATTGCAGTGTGCCTGATGGGCCAGGCGCATCGCACACCCCACGCCCCATGAGGCGCCAGCTGCTCACCCAGCAGCACCCGCCGCGGGGACCGCGCGGGTGAGCGCCGCCTTCAGCAGCGCGCGCGCCGCCCGCGCCCTAGCGCCCGCGACGCATGCTCGGGCGCGCCAGGCGCCGTCTCGGGGGCGGGGCGGGCGCGGCGGGGCGCGTCCGTCAGACGACGCCGCGGCAGGTGGGCGCGCCGCAGCGGCAGCGCATGAGCTCCACGCCCTCCCAGCGCGCCACAGTCTCCAGGTCGGCGCCGCCCGCGTCCAGCACCGGCACTGACAGCTGGTAGTCGTAGCTGCGGAGGTGCAGGTGTGTGAATGAGTATGTGCTTGTGTGTGAATGAGTGGTGTTTTGAGGGTGCGCTGACCGGCCCCGCGCGCCGAGCGGCTTCAGGGAGGCGGCGGGGGCCCTCTGCCGTCTGGCTGCCCGGCTAGCCGCCTCACCAGAGCTCCTCCCCGGCCGCGATGTCTCGCGCGGCAAAGATGCAGACGCGCCGCCTGCCATGAAGCTCAATGGTGCCAGAGCGACAGTTGGGTCTGCGCGGGCGGGCGGAGGGCGCGGGTTGCGGGCCGATGGGTGCCGCGACAGCATCGGGCGGCCAGCGAAGCAGCGCGTTTTCCCTCCTCTGTGTCCGCGGCCCCTTGAACGCCACACACACCACCAAGAGGCATGCACGCGTGGCACACACACACACGCACACACACAAACACGCACAAACCACACATGCACGCTGACGTGGACACGCGCGCACGCACATGCGTACCCCACACACATGGCTGCGCAAATGTGTATTCCTTCCCCCGCAGCTGTGGTTGATGACGTCCAATCTGCCTCCCCCCTCCGCCCCATTGCCCTGCGCTTGCGTGTATGTGTGCGATCCCTCACCCGCAGCTGTGGTTGATGAACCGCGCCACGGTGCCGGCCATAGTGGCGTCGCAGACCTCAGACTTTGAGAGGGCCATGAGGTATGTGGAGTCGAGGCCCGCGGCTTGGTAGCGGCGCTCGCGGATGTCCGCCACCTGGGGTGCGTGTTTGAGTGGTGTGAGTTGATGTGCATGCGTGGGGCTGAGAGTTTGTGTGTGTGTGCGATGTAGGTAACGTGTGTGTGCGTGTGTGGAAGTGTGCTTGTGCATGCATCCTTGTGTGTGTGTGTGCATGCATCCTTGTGTGTATGCATCCTTGTGTGTGTGTGTGTGTGTGTGTGTGTGTGTGTGTGTGTGTGTGTGTGTGTGTGTGTGTGTGTGTGTGTGTGTGTGTGTG